AATTCAGAACCTTTTACTGTTGCCAAATTTTTCTGGAACCCATATGGGGTCACGATCCACAGTTTAAGAAGCACTAGTCTAGACAATCAACAGAACAGTCATTCAAGCCCTGATTTACAGCATTTGCCAATTTCCAAGGTGTAAATGTTCACACTGAAAATTTAACAATCAACTCTCCAGAGTCGATATACAGCTGGCTCCGGTACACCCTTAAATGCAGGAAGACTAGACTCAAATCCTGTTTCAGTCGCTTACTTGCTATCCTCACCTGTGCAAATGGGGGATTGACTTAATAACAGCCTCCGAGGTCCCTTCCAGCTCTGTATGTGTGATTCTCTGAACATTTCCCCTCATTTCTGTAACATACGTAGTGCCCCAAGGGTTCCTGTCTTTCTTTATCCCATTTACTAAGAGCAGAGTAAGGGAAGTGGTGTGAAAGAGGCGATGAACACGTGCCATTCAGGACCAGAGGTTTTCTAAACAGTAACTGAATATACACTCTCCCACAATCTGGAGAGCACGGATGGTGGACCAGTTTGACCTAGAATCCTGCGTCTCAGGGACATTATGTTGGTAGCTGTGTGAACAGTGGATTGGAGAAAAGACTGGATGCTGGGAGACTAATAAGGAGGCTAATTACAGCCCAGGTAACAAATAAGAACACCTAACCCAGGGTAGTGGTGGTGTGAGTGGAGACTAGGGTATGAATGGAGAGGACAGACGTGGAGTAGCATCAATTAACTAGACTTGGCCACTGCAGCTTCAGTCTGTGGAGTAGGGGAGCATTAAGATACATCATGATGAAACTCCAGGGGGAGCCTTAGACTCTTGGTGGCCAAGATGAAACATTTCAGAATTAAGGAGTCGAAGTTGGATAACTAAAGCATTAAAGTGTTAATTTAACAGAAGTGAATTATATAGATATACATGTATATTCCATACATGCTTTCTTTTCTGTCTTGCAGACTCCTCCATCAGAATGCAAACTCATTAGGAATAAAGATTATTTCATTCTTTAGATTTATACCCCACCCCCCAATGCTTTAGCACAATGCCTGGCATACAGCAGGATTGATTAATGTTATATAGTATACCATACTGAAATGCCAGTCACCCATCACGTAATACACACAGCTCAGTTAACTGCATGCTCTTAACAAGCCTTTGCCTTTTTATTTAGCACTGGGCCAGAGACAAGGTCCTCTCTAATTTGCTGGAGTGATTACTCCATCCAGTTAAGGAACTCCAGATTTTCTCTCCTGGAATATAAGCTAAGAACTTATCTTAGGTGTCATCTCCAGTCATCCTGATCTGTATCTTGCCATTGGACCCAGATGGCTCCGAGGAGAGAGTGGGGCTGGTGACTTTGCACAGCCTGGCCTCACTTAAATCCAATTCATTTGCAAGTCATCCTGATGTCATGGTCCTCTTCGAAAACAATAACAAGAGATCCTCTAGTCTAACTCCCCATCATAAAGATGAGGAAACCAAGGGCTAGGGAAGTTGGAGACAGCATGGGGTAGGGGGTAGGCAAAAGCAAGATGGATTTGAAATCAGAGAACCTAGGTCCAAATTTTAGTTCTTCCATTTGAGACAAATGTGACCTTGAACTCACAATCCCTCTATACCTTAATTTTAAGAAAGGCAGTATGGTGCAGTGAAGAGGGCAGCACTGAACCAGGGTTCAAATCCCAATTCAAAATTTTACTAGCTACATGACCCTGGCTGAGTCACGAAATTACTCTGTGCCTCAGTTTCGTCATCTGTGAGAGTCAGAGGGTTGGACTCCACAGCTTCTGAGGTCCCTTCCAGTTCTCTATGATCCTTTTTTTTTTTTTTTTTTTTTTTTTGCTAGACAACAGGGTTAAGTGACTTGCCCGAGGTCACAAAGCTAGTAAGTATTATGAGTCTGAGGTCACATGTGAATTCAGGTCCTCCTGACTCCAAAGCCGGTGCTCTATCCACTGTGCCACCTAGCTACCCCTATGATCCTTTAATCCCAAGTGACTTGCTCAAAGTCAGAACAAGACCAGTGAGATTCCAACCTGGGGCCTCTGAATCGAAGGTAGCTCTCTCTCCACTATATCATGTAGCTTTTCTTTTAAAGATAGTTATTTCTACCACCTCAAGTCTTTTTCTCATGCTTGTCTTCAGTTCTTTCAACTGCTCCTGTCCCCGCCACTACCCTCTAAACAAGCCCCAAATTGTCAGCGCCCTTCCAGAACAGAATACAATATTCTAACTTCTCCTGATTGGTCTGACCAAGGCAGGGTCATTTGGAGTCCAATCTGATAAACAGGGTGGGTAATGAAGCTGAGCAATGCAATTTGGAGGAACATGAACTTCTTTCCAATAAGATGCAACCATAAAATAAACAAGGCCTATTTTCTCCTGTAACTTGCAAACTGGCCCTGAAGACAATTCCAAGAGAGGGAAGTTAAGCTACAGCCACACTGTTAGGAAAAGCATACATCTATCTTCCCAAGATGACTTTATGAATAATAAAATAACTCATATTTATTATTAATCCTTATATAATAACCAATATGTTTGTCATATGCAATTAATCATATATTTAATAACTAATATAATTGATGGTTATTTGTTAACTCATAGCATTGCTCTATAAAGTTCAATTTAATTCCAAAAAGTAGAGAGTCTGGGTATTGGGATCACAGAAGAATAGATTTAGAGCTAGAAGGGGCTTCACACATCATCTTGTCCAACCTTCCTATTTTATGAAGGAGATGGGTTAAGTTACTTACTGAAGGTCACGCAAGTAGTAGACTCAGAATTTAAACCCAGGTTTTCTGACTCTAAACCTGGCCATCTCTCAATATTTTACCTAACATGCAGATATGAAAACTGAGGCCCAGAGAAATTTAGTGACTTGACATGGTAAACAATTAATACTAAAGTGGCAAAGCTAGGCTTCGAATCAGGTCTAGAGCCCTAAAAATTAGGGCTTTTCACATAACATAATGATTTTTGATGTTCTATTTTTAATTTTATTAATTACTTTTATATTATATATTTATACATTTTTTATATTTTATTTTAAATTTATGGAATAAAATATAATTTTAAAAGATCTGTCAGATGCCTTAAAGTCACACCCAGTATATAGCAGCAAACCCTAGGTATTACAAAATTCCTCTCATGCTATCACTTGACTTCCTGTTGTCACATGTATTATTTAAAAAGCCCTTTGGGCACATGTTTGACAACCAAGACATTTGAAGCAATACTGTACTTAAAATCTCCAAGCTAGAAGATACCCTAGGAATTATTTAGCTGAAGCCTTTTATTTTAGCTGAAGCCTTTCATTTTACAGGTAGGGAAACCAATGCCTAAAGAAACCCTCAAAGTGAATTAGTGGCAGGACCCATACTGACTCCTAAACCAGAATTCTTTCCTTTATGGAGATATTGCTGTGCTATGCAGCTGCTCTGCCAATCAGCAGTATTTGGTTAAGCAGTTTGCAACCTTAAGAGGGAACAGGTGCCATACAAAGAGAAGTTCTTTTACTTAGCAGGCATTTAATATTAATATTCACACTTCAACACATTTGGCTCAGCCCTTCTAAGACTGCTCAATAAGCATTTAGATTATTGACTCAGTAGGCCCCAGAGCCCAGGAGTGAACCAGACCAGTAGTGAAAATAAATGTAATTCATGGGTGTGAAAAAACTTTAAAGAAATAAAGATAATTTAGTGCAGAAAACATTCAGGTGATTTACTAATCCTACCTGTACCACAGGAAAGCATTTATTAAAACACAGAATGGTGAAGTTGAAAGGGGCCCTTGAGATCAGAGGCCCAACCTTATGTCCTAGAAGATGAGGAAACTGAGGCAAAGTAAAAGGAAGTCTCTTGCCCAAGATCACGCACAGTTTTAATTAGGAGAATCAAAACTTGAACCAAGTGCCCTTTTCAACTCACCAGAAAATTTAATGCCTGGCATACAAGTACTATATAAATGTTTTTATTATGATATTAAGTGATGACCTTGGTCAACTGTTTCCAAAAGCATACAACAGGGATGATGATATCAAAATCTGAACCCAGGGCTCTTTCCAATCCTCCTTGCTTGGCACCCAGCAAGGGCTATACCCAAGTTAATTACCATTATTTTTGTCTTCTTTTATTATTAAATGAGGTTGGCCAACTGTTTTCATACTCAGGAACACATAAAAGGAGTGATGATTTCAAAATTTGAACCCAAGACCCCC